AACCAGGACAAGTCACATACAACTACACCATCACCTTCATCGACGCCGCCACCCGTTACGTCTGGCATCTAAGCCTACCCAGCCGTGACATGACCTTCGAGGCATTCGTTGCCTGGCTACCAGTAGCAGAGAGAGAGTCGGGCGTATAGCTGAAAAGCTTCCAGTCAGACGGAGGAGAAGAATACACCTCTCAGCGATTCAAGTCGTACCTCGCAGAAAGGGGAATCAAGCAGCTCCTCTCCCTTCCCTACGCCCATCAGCAGCAAGGTGTAGCAGAAAGAATGAACACGACTCTGCAGAACAGCATGCGCAAACTGTTGCGTGGCATGCGGCTACCCAACCACCAGTGGCCTGACGCGATGGACCACGCTGTCATGCTGCACAACTTGCTCTCATCTTCATCACTACCGAACAACGCATCACCGCATCTGCCGTGGACAGGAAAACAGGGCAGCACAAAAATGTTACGAGTGTTCGGATGCATGGTACAGTACCGACCCCCAGCAGCACGAGTGGGCCGATTTTCACAACGCGCACAGTGGGGACTACACCTCGGCATCGAAAAGAACTACAACGTGTGGAAATCTTCGACGTCCACTCCAAGGAAACAGTAGCAGCACGCGACGTCATTTTCTACGAACGACTCACGCTCTAGACATACCTTGCCAACCTGCAAGAGGACCAAGATCCCACAGGTGGTTTTCGTGGTGACCGAGCCTTCGCCTCGGCAGCAGACGAAGCTGACTGGGATGAGCAGAATGTGGACAACGCATCAGAAGAAGCTGGACCTCTTCCGTTCTGCTCCGTCGATGTCCCCATGGACGAAGATAACCCTCGCGAAAGTGTCAGTGCCGAAACCTTCTACTATTTCGCCGACAACGGTTACGTAACACCTGCGACAGTCAACACCAACGAAGCAGAACGAGTAGGACCAAATTTCATACCTGATCCCGAGGATGCAACTCTTCCCCGCTACTCACAGAGTGGACTGCAAATTCTTGGCCTCGTCACCGCAGTCCACGGCACGGCTCTTCCTAAAGAGCCTGCGACAGTTCAGCAGGCTCTGGGGGGGGAACACAGGGAAAAATGGCGTGAAGCCATGGACAGAGAGTTAAAGGAGCTGGAGGAATGGAACACCTGGAAAGTTGTCCCCATCAGCGTGGCAAAGAACAAGACCATTCTCACCGGGAAATGGGTCTTCCGCGTTAAAACGAAAGCAGACGGCACAATTGAGAAGTTCAAAGCACGCTGGGTTGTGCGTGGATTCGATCAGGAGCACGGACGGGACTTCACCGAGACATTCGCCTCGGTTAGCCGACACACCTCACTTCGAATCCTTCTCGCGATCGCTGCCATGAAGAAAAGGAAGCTACGGCAGATCGATGTCGCCAACGCGTTCCTCTACGCACCTGTCGACGCGGAAATCTTCGTCGAGCTCCCACACGGTACCAGCGGGGAACCTAACCAAGTCTGTCAACTGCTGAAATCACTTTACGGGATCAAGCAAGCTCCGCGGCGATGGCAACAGTACCTACACGCTCGCCTCATTCGCATCGGATTCCGCCAATGTGAAAAATAGTTCTTAGTAGGAAGATTTAGGAGCCATGGTAAGTTCGGTAGGAGTAGGTGAGTTCGAGTGGGTTCAGGTGAGTCGAGAAGATTGCAACAAAAGAGAGGCGTTTCACTATAGAGCAAGCAGTACAAATAGGCAAGAAGAAAGGTGCACCACCAAAACAGAACGTTATATAACTACAGTAGTCTACACTACAGGCAGTTACAAAACAATATATAGAATTATATATTATTCTGACACGCCCCCATAAGTGCCTGTAGGGAAGAATGTGCAGTCAACGCCCCCATAATGTGGTACACCAGACAGGCCGCAGCGGAAATCATAGCAACAGGCAAGTGCAGTGGCAACCGGTGCAGTGATGGCAGATCCAGCTGTACCAACCCCTTTACCAAGGTAAAAAAAAAAAGTAGCAGGTGTTGGGGCGGCAGGTCACCTGAGGAGCAGGCTCTGTGGCTGCAACATGCAGCAGGACAACAGCGGCTCGACGGCAGCACCTGCAGGCCCCAGCAGTAGGTAGCAAAAGCAAAGACAACAAAAGGTAGGTGGTAGCAGGGGCGGCAGCTAGAGGTGCCACGGTAGCAGCGGGCGACAGCAGCAGATGACCGGCTGACTTCCGTCGCCCCCTCACTCCCCCCCCCCCACAGCGGCACGTGCGGCAGTGAGAGAGAGAGGAGGGGCGGCAGCTTCTTGCTCACACCCGCCACCCCAAAGCCTCCCCCCCACACTGCTGCACGGGCAGCAGGGAGAGAGAAGGGACGGCGCGTGGCGGCGCAGCGGTGTAGTGCAGCAGCGAACAGAGTGGCGTCAACCACCCTCGTGCCTCCCCCTCCCCCCCCCCCCCCCCCCCCCGCCACACCTTCGTCCACAGCGGAAGACACGGCAGCGGACTCGGTTGGCGTTGGGGAGAGCTCGAGTAGGGGGGGGGAGTAATGGGGGGGTGCAACAGGTGTCGCGACGAGCGTCTGCGCACAGCTCGCCGTCGATTGCGTGGCAGCTGCAGTGGTAGCAGTCGCATGTTTGACGGGAGGGCGGGGCAGGGGGCGCGTTCGGCGACTGAAGTAGCTCGGCCGCCACACCCGCCGTCTCCCCCCAAAGCGACCGTCGATGCAGACGCTCGGGGCCGCGACAGGGCGTGACGAGGTTGCAGGAGGGCGCGAAGGGCAGGCGACGGGGCCGTCGACCGGGGTCGCGACGAACAACACTAAGCCCGCCACGCTCACGCTCGACTTCGTAACCTTCACAACGAGCGGCTGAACAGGCACAGCTGGGGCCGCGACGAGCGCCATGGTAGGAGCGATAAGCGGTGGGCCCATGGGAAAAAAAATCAGGTCCTAGGATAGGAACCTCACTCTGATAACATGTGAAAAATAGTTCTTAGTAGGAAGATTTAGGAGCCATGGTAAGTTCGGTAGGAGTAGGTGAGTTCGAGTGGGTTTAGGTGAGTCGAGAAGATTGCAACAAAAGAGAGGCGTTTCACTATAGAGCAAGCAGTACAAATAGGCAAGAAGAAAGGTGCACCACCAAAACAGAACGTTATATAACTACAGTAGTCTACACTACAGGCAGTTACAAAACAATATATAGAATTATATATTATTCTGACAGCCAACTACCTCACGACCAAGGAATGTACCGACTCACTAAAGACACCAACTACATTCTGCTGATCATCTACGTAGACGACTTACTCTACGTCGGCTCCACTGACGGCATCACCACCTGGTTCGAAGGGGAGCTACAGAGGGACCTCACACTCACGGTCTCCTCTACCGTCACACAGTACCTCGGCTTGAACATTCGGGAAGAAGAAGGCGCGATCTACCTCAACGCCGCTAAGTACGCCGACACCATCGCCAAACGCTTCGCGCTCACACCTACCACCATCTCTACGCCCTACCGCTACGCGACAGGAAACCACAAGGAAGGATCCACTCTACTCAAATCCGCCGAGATACGCGACTACCAGAGAAAGCTAGGGTGCCTTCTCTTCGCAGCTTGCACATGCCGCCCCGACCTCTCATACTCCGCAAGCCAGCTCGCCACATACCTCAAGAAGCCTGAAGCAGAACACCTGGCGGAGCTCGACCGCGCTCTCCACTACTTCGTCAGTACCTCAACGATCGGCCTAACTTACTACAAGAACGCAACTACACCGACTAAATTAATCGGCTACGTCGACGCTGATCACGCGCTGGCGACTCCGACAACGGGCGCTCCCGCACCGGCTACATCTACCGCCTCGAACCTATCGGACCGATCTCCTGGCAATCGAGCAAGCAGGAATGAATTGCTCTCTCGTCAGCTGAAGCAGAAAATATTGCACGAGTTGTTATCTTCTCTCCCTTGGGCCCTGGTGGGGCATTTTTGAACGCCCCAAATGATGGTAACCCAACGTTATCCAAGTGATTGGCCGTGGAATAGGGTGGGGAGTTGTTATCTTCTCACCCTTGGGCCCTGGTGGGGCATTTTCAAACGCCCCAAATGATGGTAACCCAACGCTATCCGAGTGATCGGCCCTGTAATAGGTTAGGGAGTTGTTATCTTCTCTCCCTTGGGCCCTGGTGGGGCATTTTCAAACGCCCCAAATGATGGTAACCCAACGTTATCCAAGTGATTGGCCCCGGAATGAGGAAGGGGTACCTTGTCCCTGCTCAGCCACCAAGGAAGAACTCTATCTTCGCGAACTGCTGGAAGAAGCGAAGTTAGCCGAGTTACCCAACTTCACTCTGTTCTGCGACAACCAATCTGCAATTCGCATCGCCAACAAAAATGGATTCGCGAACAGAACGAAGCATATCGCCCTGCGATATTTCTTCGTGAAAGACAAGATCGAGAAGGGGAGACTCGAACTATCCTACTGTCCCACGTCCGAGATGGCAGCTGACTACTTGACCAAGAAGCTCGGAAAGCAGAAGTTCGAGTACTGCATGCTGCTGACTGGACAAAGCTACGTCACTAGCAGCGACACTCCAGAAGCGAAGGGGAGTGTTGGGAACAAATATTCTAAATACGCATCTGTCGTGTCGAAACACCAAAGCGAAGCAGAGCACATCGAAGCATCGGCGAGTCAACCCTCGGAGGTTGAAGTAACCGCTGGAGGTTACGCGAAAGTCAAAGGTCAGCGACCTTTGACTTGACAAATGCAGCGCCACAGCAAGGACACACAACTGACTCGACATTGAGCAGTTGCCCGAGTCGCACTGTATCGAACCGCAACAGTAAAACAGTTTAATTATATCTCTTCGTATTCCTTGTACTCTTATATAAACCTTTGTACTTGCTTGTTTTAATCTACTTTGCTCTCACATACCAGTGCAAGGTGGTTCAAGGACTTCATTGAAACACTTCCGCTACTACATCACTCTACCCAGAGTTTAACCCTACCAAGGATCCTAAGGGGCACTCAGCCCAACAGATACAACCCAACCTACACCGCAACTCTCTTTCCATCGTCCTTCTCATCGGAGTCAGTGACGAGCTCGGCGGTCCTGGAAGTTGTCATGGCGCCAAACACAGCAGCGGAGGTGAGCCAGAGGAAGAGCGACGCCCAGCTCTCAGCCATGCTCGCACTGCCGTAGTGCGGCTGTCCCACTTGCACCATCACCACCTGCATGACCGCAAACCCGTTCTGCACACAAAGAGCAGTGGCAACAAGGCAGAGAATGACATGAGATTTCCGGCCCTAAGCGAGAAGCAGATACCATTCATCCAGAGCTGCAGTCCTATCACTCCACCCTTCCAACCCTCCCGCTCCTCCTCCCTCTCAGCATCGCCCACCACACCTGCTACAGAGCAGGGAGAGAAAGCCAGGGCCAGGATCAGCGTTCCCAGCACAGCAGCAGCAAGCATGCTAACTAAGGGTACCGTTGCGACACTCACCACACACAAGCCGATGCCAGCATAGTAGGTGAGCTTGCCAATGGCACGTACCCATCTGGTACCACGTGGCTTCAGCATGCGCAAAGTGCAGCAGCAAGCATGGTATCGGTGACCGGTGGGTGTCACACTCACCACCCACGTGCCGATGCCAGCATAGTAGGTGAACTTCCCAAGCAGGATGTGGTACGTGCCCATATGGTACCGCGTGGCTTCCGACAGGCGGCTCTTGAACAGCACGAAGGCGCACAGTCCCCACACGAACTGCAGAGCAGGGAGAGGGGCAGCACGGCACACAATTTTGAGACGTCTCGGAGCTTCCGACAGGCGGCTTTTGAGCAGCACGAATGCACACAGCCCCCACACGAAGTGCATGGAGAGGGGCAGCATAGCACACAGAATGGTGCACAGCATGGCATAACAGACTTCATAAGGAGATCTCTTCACGTGTTCATATCTCTCGTGATGATATGAAAGGATAAAAGCAGATCAGATCAGAACACATCAGATCGAATCTGCTCAAGACCATAGCACTATGCTCGCAACATGGGATGGTGAATTATCGCATCCTTGATGCAAGCCCACGCACCTGAACAGCAAAGAGTGAGAGAGTGAGCACGCCACAGTAGGAGTGCACGGAGTACATGTGCTTGTGCTTCGTCCCTTTGGAGGCGATAATAGCCTCCATCGCCACCGCCGTCAGGATGAGAGCGAGCGCCTTCCGCGCCAGGTGCACCCACTTGGCATACCCGGTCGCCCTGAAATGACGTTGAACAACAGAAACAGTATAGTCACACGGGTTGCAATCACGTGCGGGAGACAGTAGGAAGTCGTCGCATGATGGAAACTGGAGGGCCAGCAAGGCGGCGGACAGCAGGACGGAGCAACTTCTAAGCTTGTAGAATCAACCCTCCAAAGTGAGGTAGAAAGCGAGAGAAGGGAGTGCGTGATGGGGACACGGAACGCGAACCCTAGGAGCGAGCAGCACTTGGTGGAAGAGCGCTGGGGATGGGTGGCCTGCTGCTGGGCAGCTAGTTGGTGTACCCAAGAGAGGTGGAGCAGAGCGCGAGGAGGGATTGAACCTACCTGGGGGAACTGGAGCAGAAGGTGAGGATGCACCATAGGTATGAGTGTTGCATGTGGGTGTTGCATGTGGGTGTTGCATGTGGGTGTTGCGCATGAGTGCTGCGCATGAAAGTTGTGCATGGGTGTTGTGCATGGGTGCTGTGCATGGGTGTTGCGCATGGGTGTTGCGCATGGGTGTTGCGCATGGGTGTTAAACAAGGGTGTTGCGCATGGGTGCTGCGCATGGGTGCTGCGCATGGGTGCTGCGCATGGGTGCTGCGCATGGGTGCTGCGCATGGGTGTTGCGCATGGGTGCTGCGCATGGGTGTTGCGCATGGGTGTTGCGCATGGGTGCTGCGCATGGGTGCTGCGCATGGGTGTTGCGCATGGGTGCTGCGCATGGGTGCTGCGCATGGGTGTTGCGCATGGGTGCTGCGCATGAGTGTTGCGCATGGGTGCTGCGCATGGGTGTTGCGCATGGGTGTTGCGCATGGGTGTTGCGCATGGGTGCTGCGCATGGGTGCTGCGCATGGGTGTTGCGTTCGGGAACAATAGAGAGAGTACACATAGGTTTCTTTGTGCACCGTGAACCCCGCCTCTGCCGCAATCAAGGCAATTTCGTCCCTGAGCGCATGGTGAGTTGCAATCCTTCCCCCCCCTTTCTCGCAGCGCATGAGATGGTTTGGGAGGCGGTCATCAGGGAATTTGGTGCGGTAGCGGCAGTCGCAACGCCTGGGGACAGGTAAAGGGAGGCCCAGACGGAACGCAGCAGCGGAGGAGAGCTGAGAGGGTCCCATCCTGAGCGAGGGTATGATGGGTAGTGCCAGCAGCCAGTCTCCCGCACCAGGGCCGAGCACTGACTGCATTCTCTGGGCATGGCCAGAGAGGGGGTTGGGGCGCATCCGTCTTGCCTCGTTCATGACTCTCAGGAAGCGGCGTGTCTGAACCGCCAGCGCTAGAGACTGCTGCAGCTTGGGGCCCTGTGGGTCTGCTTTCCCAGCCTGGAGGACTTCTAGTGCCTCGGGAGGGAGGGCTGCTTCCGCTGCTGCAAGGCGTGCTGGCAGGGCGTGCGCAGAGCCAGAGGTGGGGTCCATTAGGGGGAGGAGGGCTGCTACATCTGGGTGGAGTGCCTCGGCCAGGGAGTGCAGTAAGTGGGAGGTGCCCACCACCGACGCAAGGTACGCATAGCTCCCTTCAATTGCAGGATTTGTAATGCCAAGCCCCCCCAATGTTACGAGCAGCGCCGCTTGCCTCCAGATTCTCCTCTGTTCTGATTCACTCCTTGGCAGCATGATATGGGCCGCGTCCAGGAAGGTGTGCAGCAGTTGCTCCCCCCATGCCGCCCATTCATCCTCAGGTAGTGCCTCTAGTGGAGTGGTTCTGGCCAGGAAGGATGCTCGCCGGCCCACGCAGCGGGTGAGTAGCAGCAGGCACAGTTGGGGGTCCATTTGGGCCAGGAGTGGCAAGGGTTCTGCTGCCGCTGCAAGCCTTTCCCTCACTCTGGCGGCACAGCCGTCTGGGGTCCCGATTGGGCTTCCTAGTATCCGCAGGCCGTCTGTTGCGATGGGGAAGCTCGGAGGGAGAGAGGCGGGGTCAATGGCTGCCGCGGACCAAGCCTCACACTTCCCAAGGTTGTGCTCGAGGCCTATGTGGATCAGTGCGGCAGTGAGGTGTGTGAATGCCGCAGTGCACGCTTGTGCCTCCCCAAGCAGCGTTATGTCGTCTGCATAGGCGAGAATGACGACCCTTGGGTGTGCTAGTGCCGTTGCGGTAAGGTGTGGGTGGATGCTTGCCGCAAAAAGCAAGGGGCCAAGAGGGTCCCCTTGGCGGACGCCTCTAGCACTTAGCAGTGGGGCCGTGCCGAAGTCGTGGTCGAGGTGGAGCGCTGAGGGAGTTCCGTAGGAGAGGCGGACAAGGGGCAGAAGGCTTTCAAGGGACTCGTTCTTGAGCCCCTCGAATACCGCCGCCCTTTCCACCGCGTTAAACGCGTTGGCGAGGTCAATCTGCAGCGCCACCGAGCCCGGGTTCTCCTCCAGGTATGTGCGCGCAGTGTGAATGGCCGCCTCGATCCCTCCAGCCACTGCTACCCCAAACTGTAGAGGCGCGAAGTGTGATCGTGCCGCCGCCCCAGTCAGGAACAGTGCTGCCTTGGCCACAATGCGAAGAAGGCATTCGCCCACGGCTATCGGTCGGGTCCCCCCCTGCAGTTTTGTGAAGGCCAGGAGCCGTGAGGCTGTGAGGAGCTCAGTGGCCTCGCTGCTGAGTTTCCCGGCTATAGCTGTATTGGTGAGTGCGAGGAGATGGGCGAAGATGTCTGGATTTCCGAGTGCAGCATCGCGTATGTGCTCGAAGGTTGTGCCCGAGGGCCCTGCTCCCACCCCGTTAGGGAGTTTGGCTATGATGCGCCTGAAGTCGCGCGGCTCAATCGAGGGCGTTTTCTCAGGGGAGAAGGTGCGTATCCATTCTGGCAAGGGCTGGAGTGCTTGCGGGTGTCGAGCTGCTAGTGCCGCGTACACGTCGGGGGAGGCAGGTGAGACCGGAGTGGCTTGGAGGGACTGTAGTGACTTGGCCAGGTTACCACGCTTGGCCAGTCCCTCCGCTCTGGCAAGGATGCCCTGAGTGTCAGGTACGTGACGTGGCTGGGCTGGGAGGGATATTGCTTCAACTGCCTCGTCGTACAGGCCAGACCAGAGTCCCTGGCGGAAGCGGAGGAGGCGATTCATCATCGCGTTCCAGTCTGGTCTGCGAGCTGACGAGGTGCGTAGGAGGATTCGCGGAAGGAAAGTCAGTAACCTCCACCCCGCGGTCGAGTTGGGATTGGCTGCCAGGTGGAGGAGTGGGGTGAGTAGGCAGACCCCTAAACTCTCTCTCTCTCTCTCTCTCTCTCTCTCTCTCTCTCTCTCTCTCTCTCTCTCTCTCTCTCTCTCTCTCTCTCTCCACGCTCGTCGTCTCGGCATTCACCATGCCACGTCACGACCCCCGTCATGCGGTCACAGCAGCCCTGTCGCATCGCGTTGATCGTAGAAGCGGGATGCGGGAGGGGGGGGAAGACAGGCGGAAGAGCGGCCGAGACAGACGCACCCACGGGTTCGACAAGCCGTCGCCCCTAAGCCGCTGTGTTCCCTCCGCGCCTTCCCCCTTGCCCAACCCCCTTTTCCCCATCCACCGTTTCCCCGCACCCTGACCCTCCCCTCCCCCCAACTTCCCATCAAACGACACGTCATCGTGGCCGTTGAATCCTACGATGCTCCGCAAGGACGAACATCGGCTCTTTCCCCGTACCGCGCCGCACTTTTCTCGTCCTTCCGAATGACGTAATTAAAAATCGTCGAGGCTCGGGAAGTGACTCTGTTGCCTTTGTTGGAAGCTGGCGCGTGGCCAGTCATTGCACTGGTGCTGCTGATCCCGTGGGGAACTGTAACTGGCTGACCACGAGCGGGGAAATCGAGGGAACAAGCGCCTCTTGCAACTGATTGTACATCGTGACAAACAACAGGGCTGATCGAATTTATAAACTGTATCCGCAACATGATGAATCTCGTTATCCACGACTTATTCGCCTAGTCCGTGAAAGCCTCCCAAACTCACCCAGTAAACCATATATTGTCCATAATTGTCTAGGTCATAAAAGCACTTCGATTCGGAAATCTTATCCTTGTGTTGCTAAACATATCCCTGCATTTGCTGTATTAACATACAAAGTACCTGTCAAATTGTGTTTATATCTGTGTTAGACATGTTAGGGTGCAGTGAGATGCATAGTATAGGATATAACACTATGTCAGGGCGCACACCAGCTAGCCAGATTGCATGCGCGCATATTACCCCGCAGCGGACGCGCACGCGACTGTAACCACTCACGCACGCAAAGGCAGCGCGCTACACACGCAGCAGCGCACACACCGCGACCAACCACGCACACGACAGCAGCTGCGCACGCACAGCAGTAGCCACGCACGCTGCAGCCTCAGCCGCATGCATATTATAGCAGCAGCGCACACGCGGCAGCAGCCACGCATGCAGCGCTGCGCATGCGCAGCATCGACTGCACACACAGCAGTACGCTGCTGCAACAGCCCGCACCCGATGTAATGTATTATCCTAACTACCGAGCTAACAACGATCGATCTCTCTCTAAGTCAATTGTTGAGAACTTCTCTCGACAAAGGAAGAGTTGGAGAAGATGGTTGAGTTGGTTGGGATGAAACTTGGTTTGGGTTTGCCAAGCCTCAACTTTGGAGGTTTGGAACATTTCCAACTCAACCAAGAGAATGTTGAAGGTTGGAATTCCAACCAATCAGAAACTGCCAAACAAGTGTTACAATCTACTCTATCCTAAACACAATCAT